TAATATAAAATTTTACTTTTAAATTATCTCCTAAAAAAACGACCCTATAAAATTTAAAGACACGACCCGCAAATGGTGATCCCACCCACCAACTCTTTTGGAATGATTCTGAGATTATTTATTTTATAATTTGAAGTATTATTTGTATGATTGATTTTTTTTTTTATATGTTTTATAATATTAAATATTATTATTTATTTAACATATATAAAAATTATATTAAAAAATAATATAAAAAATTATTTTTATGACATTGCTCCTTCGAAGTTAGGTACAAAAGTGGTACCAAGTTCTGAAGTTCATTGTATATAACTTAAATTTTGAATAAGAATAGATTTTATAATATTAAATATTATTATTTATTTAATATATATAAATTATATTAAAAAATAATATAAAAAATTATTTTTATGACATTGCTCCTTCGAAGTTAGGTACGGAAGTGTGGGAGCGGTGGCCTTCCATACTCAAAAAGTGAAAATAGGAAGGCTATTTTGGTAATTCTACAAAAAAAGAGGCAAGGCCTTCATCATACGCAAGATGCAGCAGCCGCACTATATACTGTATACCCACAAAACAAGTAGTGCCCAGCTCATTTCTCCACAAATTCCCCCGTCTCCCTTTTTCTTTCTCTCATGGCGGAAGAATCACAGCCTAAATGGGAGGGCAAGACCACGGCGGAGCTAAGTGGCCCGACGGCGGAACAAATATGGCCCTTCTGGGAGGATTTCTGCAACCTCCACTTGTGGCATCCCGATATCGATACTTGTTCCCAAGTTGAAGGAACCCCAGGACAGCCCGGCCTAATCCGCTACTGCGCCACCAAGAAAACATCATCCTCTGGCGGAGACGATGGAATCAGCTGGTGCAAAGAGAAGATATTGATGATTGACCCGGTCAACCGTTGCCTGAGCTACGAGTTGCTGGAGAACAGCATAGGGTTCAAGTTGTATGTAGCTACGATTAAGGTGTTGTCTGTGGACGGTGACGGCGGTCGTGGGTGCAAGATCGAGTGGTCGTTCGTTGCTGATCCGGTAGAGGGGTGGAAGTTTGAGGACTTGGTTGCTTATATTGAAACTTGTCTCTTATCCATGGCAAAGAAGATGGAGCAGAGTGTTGGGGCTCACAATGGTTATTGATGTATTAGAATAATGCCACGAGTAATTCGTTTTTTTATCTAACATGGTGTAAAAGCACTGGCCTTGAGGTTTAGTGGTATAGCCACGGTGCATTCCCGTTCTCCGACAGGGTTCAAAACCTGTACTTGCAAAATACGTTTAAAAAAATCTAACATGGTGTAAAATAAAATCGATCTTTGAAACTCTTTTGATATTTTTCCCTTTAATT